ACAACAAGGAAACAATAAAAGCAAAGGAGAAAGGAGGCAGCAGAACTTTAAAAACTCTGTACAGCAACATCTGCTCTTTGCAGCAGTCACTCATCTTTGTCTCTCTTGAGTCAGAGTCTAAATCAGAATCAGCCAGAAGGTGGCCTAATTAGATTGCTTTTATATTCAAGGTAATACCACCTGGAGTCATTAACGCTATAAATTACAGGAGCTCTCTCATGACAGAGCACTACAGTGTTGATGAATAGGAGCAGGCAGAGCTGAGTGGTTTTAGAAATCAAGACAGAAGGAATCAGGAGACTAAGGCAGACTTCTGGGGCTGCATCTCAGTGGATTTTATGCAACGTCATCATGTATTAAGAATAAGAGGATGGATTAGACAATAGAAAGTCAGGGCTGACATGGATTCTTTATGGATTCAGTATAATTTTTTTAGGCTCTAAATCCGCATTCATTTTCAAAAGAGAGGAAGGAACTGGAAAGGTTTCCAGGATACACAATACTGTTAATACCAAACAACACTGCTCTACAGATATCTTATCAAAATGCCTGGGTCACATGTTGTTCCTTGTTCCTTGTTTCTTTGGGAAAGTTCCAGTATGACACAGGAGCAGAAAAGAGAGAGCCTGACTGCTATTGCTGCTCTTCAGTACCTACAGAAGCATGGACTGACTGGTGGTACAGCACAGCCAACTTTAAACACTTTGCATGTATGATTTAAACAGACCCTAGCATTTAACATTCTGTGAAAATAAGGCCTGGTTTTGATGCATCTACTTAGGCACTGAGAAATCAAGACGCTATTCAAACCATCCTCACCAGCAGCTTTATCCACAAAGGGCTCATGCAAAGCACAACCATCACACGTCTGATGTCTGGAAGAGCACAATGGCAGCAAACAGATGTACAGTCTAGCCCCTAATATATGAAGAACATAGAAAGTAGAGAATTGAGGCAGACACAGAACGGTGTCTGGAAGAAAGGGAAAGGCATAAATGTAGGAGTGTGTCTGAGAATGGAGTAGAAAACATCTAGCCAGATTATTTTAAGTGGTATTTTTTGATTAAAAAGCAAACACAGCTATAGAACAGAGAACTGAAATTCCATTGACATGAATTGTTTGCATAATCAAAGCTTCTGAGTGACAGAAATAAGGAATCTTTTTTAAAACTTACAGTATTGTATGACTCTGACACACTTTCTGTCATGTGGCAGATGAACATTCATCAGCCTGGGCAAGAACCTCTGTTCTTGAGTTCTAGTGATTTGGAAATCAGAAACCAGTTGATCTAGATGCCTGAGGGAATAAACATATAAATATGTATATATATATGTTTATATATATACATATATGTTTCCTGGAATTTCCTCCAAAAAAGATATATATAATGCTTGGGGAAGCAGCTTTAGTGTGAAATTACCTTTCTTTCACGGAACAGGAATGGTCATGGAGTCAGCACTGAAGGCTAAACTCTGCAGCCTGTCTGGTTAAGACACAGCATTGAGGGAAAAAATATGGATTTTGAGAAAAATGAGGCATTTTCAAGATGAAAAAATTTCCCACATAGTGAAGGAAGTGGTCATTTTGAAAATTATCTCTTCATATCTGAAAATTATCTGTAAAGAAAATGCTACAAATTATCTCCTTTGGTATTTTTTTTCTTTTGATTCCATTTTCATTTGCATCTCCATTGCTATGTGTTATATAGTTTGAAATAAATAACAGTCTGTTCTATCATGTTCACCAAAGGTATTACAAAGCACAGGAGGGTTGTCATGGAGACAGTATTCATAAGGGAAGCAATCAAATTCCTAAAATATTTAAGCAACAGTCACTCTTCAGGACAAACAGTAAGTAGGATATTTGTGATAGGAAGATAGGATGGAATTTCTCAAGTTGAAGTTGAGAAAGAAACCAAAATCCACTTTGGGAAATAAAGTGTGTTTAAATAAGAAAAATTGTACACAGCCACTTTAACGTCTAAATGAGGACAATACTCATCACAGAATAAGAAGAAATAATCATGGTTACATCTGTGACTTTCACCTGCTTCCTGAGTCTGAAATGGATGATGCTTTTTATGATGAGGAAAGTGGGTTTTTCTGGGCAGTTCAAACCATCAAAAGGAAAGACCTACACTTCCATTTTGTCTGCCATTTCTTTTTGTGTGACAACTTACTGAGCTGATGCAGTCAGCCACTGATGTGCAAAGGCAGATTTGCCTTCTGAGGATAAAATAAAGAGGTAGCTCAGACCTACAAATATCTAATTCCTAACAAGTGTTGTTTTAATACCAACTCTTCTCAGACCTGGAATAATACAAGAGGCAGCTGCCAAAGGCAAACTGAAGATTACCATTTCCATTTGGATTTAACGAAGTTAGCTTTGAACTGGTAATTACATCTTCAAGCAAAATGGATGTGTTTTGTGAAATGAAAATTGGGCAGCTGAACTCAAGTCATAGCACAGCCACACTGTGTCCAGTGTTGCTGGGAGGCATTGGTAAACAAATTTTGATCAGATTTCCAGTTTTTCCCATTACTCTTGGCTCCTACTGCTCCTTTTTGCCTGGTTTCTTTTTCTTCTCCTCCCTTTTGTATCATCTACTCATTTCCACTCTGCACTAAGCAGCAAAGAAGGAATGACAAGGAGAAAACATTGTATGAAAATAAGCAAATAGAAATGGAAATCAAAACAGATATCTCAAGCGAAACTCTGATGGACTTTCACTGGGATATCTGCCCAAGTCAGGGAGCACGGGGAAGGCAGGAAATGGACTAAAGAGATCTTTAAAATATTGCAGAGCTTGTAGTTAATTCAGATCAAGTGTTCCTGGAGCCAGCTCATGGTAATGGAGAGTGCTCTGATGATGTAGGAGGGGCACATAGTTTTCGCAGTATTGCTGCTTTCCCAGGCTCTCCTGAGTCTGTCACTTTGTGAGCTCCATGTTTTAACCCTCAGGAGAGTACCAACTGGGAACTGAAAAGGTTTTGTGTGAGACAATTTATGGCAGGCCAAATACCATGAATGTATCCATTTGGCCTTACAATAAATCCCCCACTGATTAATGCGGCTTCCTGAAGGGTCTGATAAAGGAGCCCTGCAGTTGGGGGTGGCAGGTCTGACAGCCAGTTCCACTACAGGCATCACACAAGTGCCTCACCCTCCAGCTGTTAATTAACAGAGACAAGGAGGAGATAGCATTAAGCAAAGATTCCTCTCTTGGTTACTAGCTTAACCCATGAAAACCACAGATCCTTGTCACTGATGCAGGGGACCACAGGATCTTGACCTTGTCACAGCTTGGCATCCCCCAGTGAGCACGTGTCTTCTCTTAATCTTGGCTCCCTCTCCCTTCTGCATCCATCTCCAGCTTCCTCTCCTTGTGTTCAGTGCTCCGAACCATACTTTCTAACCTTGCTTCCCTTTTTTCCCTTTCTCATTCCTGGTGAGATCTCCTCTAGGTCATTCAAACAGTGACCTCTGCTCAGCCAGGCACCAGGAGGTGTTTACATATGGTAGTAACTTACTTCTCTCCTCCTCTCATAGCAAACTTCTGCCTCTCCTTTCTGCACACTCTGCCTGATAATTTCTCTTTCACAAAGCATTTAAAGAAATGTTACTCTCCCAAAATACATTCAGTGCTTCAGCATGCACTCTGTTATTTTGCAGGAGGCTGCTGCAAATCTGAAAAGTCAGCTCAGGAAACTGGCTGGCTTCTCAAAACACTGACTTCTGTGTACATGCAGATTAAACTTGGGATCCACTTTCTGAGCCACGTATCAGTGCTTGAGGGAAACAAGCAGTGATGAAACCATGACTACTCCAGCATATCTTTAGCTATTACGTGTGCTCTGGACTGCACAGGTAGTCCAGAGTAATTAGGATGCACGGTGCTCTGGTGCAAAGGCCTCCCTCACACATACCCTTGCCCTGGGGGCTCAGCAGCAGACTGGAGAGATCATCCCCTTCACCATCAGCCTCAACCTCAATGAGATTAACCCAGGCAGCTCTATGAGTACGGCAGACTTGTCCTTGGGATGTGCAGCCCACACAGGCCACTGCACTCAGGGTCAGCTCCGAATTTCACAGCTCACATGAGTCTCTGCAGTCTTTGCCTAGCCTTGAAACTGAAGGAGTTTCTGGGCAGGGTCACACTTTGCCTGAGCTGGCCTTAGCACAAAGATGGCACTCATTAAACAGTTATGTGAATAATAACCACTTTAGGTTGGTTAATCAGCCTAGATAACATCCAGCTCCCACACAGCACTCTCTTCTCGTCCACACAGCAAACACTGCAATTTTAGTACAGTTGCTGATGCAGTGTTAGAATACCTGGTAATCATTAATTAGCTGAAATACTAACATCTGACAGCAAGAAGCATAGCATCTCAGCTCTGCATTCCCATAAACCTTCAAGTGGTTATTAAAAATCCCCAGTTCCTCAGAAATGTCAGTCTGGGAATCTCTTTGTTTTAAATGAATTGAGGGACTGGTCCCCTCCTTGACACACCCAGCATATTCTCAGTGCCTGTTTAAATCAAATACGGATATGCTCTATTCTTTCTGCAGATCCATCTGGCTGCTTAAAGGCAAAGAAAAGAACGCTGCCACACAAAGTGCATATGCATCTGCGGATAAATTAAAGCCCACAGCCAGGACAGCGACCAGGCGGGTAACCCAGGGGGTGGGAAGGTATTTTAACAGTGTGGTAGCTTGCTGGAGGAGAAGGAAGGAGAGGAAGTGGGGAAGGCATAGAAAACCAAAAAAGAGAACACATTTCTTATTAGAAAGTTGACATTTACAAATACCATTCCCTTTGGGTGAAGTTACATTTAAGCCAGATGGCTCAGACAATATTAAAACTGAGACGAGGCTTTATTTCTGAAGTTCTTTCTTCTGATGAACCTGAGACGCTTTCAGAGGAGCATGAATTAAGCCTCACAGCAGCAGTGTGCATGAAGCAGTGATTATTCTCCATTTAGTAGAAGGGGTACACAAAGAGGTCACGTGAGTCGTTTGAGGGCGTACAGGAAGTCTGTGGCACAGCACAGAAATAGAATCCAGACCTCTTGACTCCTAGACTTGTACTTCAACCACAACTCATGCTTCTTCCCTTAAACAATCAAGAAGTTGAAAGCCAAGCAGCATCAAGTCAAACATCTGAGCGATGCTTGTCTTAGATTTGTAAGTATATACCTAAAATAGCATACGCATACACAGGAAGAGATAATTACTTGGGGCATTACATAGTTATAGCAAAGTATAAATAGCAAATTTGTTTTCCTCCTCGCTGCTGCTGGAATGGGGCTCTGAGTTCATTCTTGTTCCCAGCTGGGAAAGGATTTTGGAACGTGTAGTTGGGGAGGACACTGTTAGTGAGTGTTTGCTGACCAGGATCTCTCTTACTTCAATCAGTAAGATATCTACAAGAAAAATAAATAAACATGCATGAATGCTTTGCTGTCTGATAAAGATGAGGCTACAAGGAATACAGTAGCGGATGCTGATTTTTTTATCTGTAGTAAAAGCTTTTACAGGGTTTCCTTGTCTTTTCACTTAATGCCTAAAATCTGTTTTCAAATCTGCATTCCATTTCCCAACTTACAGCATCACAGAAAGAAGGCAATCTTAGACAAGTTCACTTTCTCTCATAACTAAGTTTTGAAAAATCCAGCCATGTTTTCCAGTGTTTGGTCACTGTGCTGGGTTTGTGTCACACTGCCTATTTTCTTTTTAGCCTGAATTGAGGCCCTCCACAGACAGCTGTGTGCTCTTTCCTGAGGTATCTTTGAGTCCCAATAGCTAGATGTATCTCCAGTAAGGTTAACATGGTCAGAAGGCACTAGTATCAAAACCAGAGAGAAAAAAACACTGAGGGGTTATAGTAGCAAATTAAAAGGAGATGAAAAAGCAGAGACCTCTTGTTATTCTTTTATTTCTTACCATTGTTGTTTTGCATTCTAGCTATGGTGGCCTGTTTGTCTGAATGTATGTGTTCTGAGTCCTGATTTCTAGTCTCACTGCTTTACAGTGGTACTTTAAAAAACACATAATAGATTCCTTTTAATTGCCTGGCTCCCATAGTGAGCAGCCTATTGCGCTCACTAATTGAAATACCAAATTAAAGACGACAACAACATTTACAAGCAGTGCTCCAGATATAAGATATACAGAGAGAAGGTAATTTCTGCACAGGCCCTTGGACCTGGAAGAAGTGCTCCTCAGGAGTAAAAACAGACTTGGGTTTTGCCTCATTCCAAATTAAAGGAGAGCTCTGTGTGCTGGCATGAGACTGCAGTCTGAGCAGAAGAGCTGGATGCCAGCCTTCTTCCCCAGACCGCAGCAGTTCCTGCTTTTGTCTGGACATATTTGTGACAAAATACAGACCAAAAAAACATGAAGAGAAGACAATCAGTATGAGAGCAAGCTACCAGAATGGCCACATCCATTAGTCTTCTCCCTAGAGCAGAATTGCCACCTTTCATTAAGCCATGGCCATTACTTGTTATTATTACTGAGTTTATATTGCTCCACTGGGGTTTTCCAGTTGGACAGGAACACAGTGCCTGAGGATTCGCTTGTGGCTGGGTTAGGCTCATTTTCAAATCAGAACTAATCTGTGCTGAGCAAACTGGCTGTTGTGTATAATGTATATTGAAGGAAAAAATGCATAGTCATACACATCCAGATAGCACCCAAGAAAATGAGACTCAGGCATCACTGACATATAAAATTTTGGGCTTTTTCCAAAGGCTCTGTAGCTTGAAACTGCACTGTAAGTGACATAAGATGTGAGCTGGTCTTATTCTATGAGCTGTGTGATAGCAAATGGTGCCCTTTTGCTGCTCAGCATCATTTGTATCTTCAAGCTTGATGCTTACTATAGTTCTGCAAGCACATGAACCTGTAGCTAGGGTCTAGAAAGCATAGAGGTAATTTGTAATTTGCACAAAAAATAATCTGCTTAGATAAAATAAACATGGAGCTTGATCTCTGTACAAAACTCATTGCAAATCTGAAACAAGCCTTTTGTCCTATGTTATCTGCTTTGAATCAGAGAAAATATGGGATTGGCAAGCTTTTCTAAACAGCATGCGTTTGTCTCTGTCTTACAGATTAAGTACTTTGGTTCCAAAACAGATTAGAATTTCACAAACCTGAACTGAAAATAAAGAGACTAAAGACATTCAGAAAATGGTCTGTGTTCACATCACGAGAGGAAATGTTCTTTGCTGTTGTGAGGCTGTGACTCAAATCACTAAGGTGCTGAAAACCCGGCAGGACTCTCTTGTTGCATGGGTCTGCACTTACACCAAGAGAGTGATGGTACTGAGTGTGACACATCAGTGTACACAGAGGCAGCATCAACTAGTGAGAAAAGGTCACCCTTGTGTCTGATTCAAAACTGGTAAAAATAGCACCTTGAAGATCCCCACTGAACCCAGCAGAGGAGAGCTGAGTAGTTCACGGAACACAACAGAACTCTGACAAGAATTAATTCCCCAATTGAAGTTATTTCTCTTGTTTGATGCTGTACCAAAAAGAGAGTTAGAACAGGGATTGTTTCCTGTGGGATTTTCATTTTGACCTTTAGTTACACAATCACATTCATTTTAAAGACATCTGATTAATTTTTTTAGGTAAAAGCTAGTGAACAATGTTTAATTTATGTGTTGCAAATTTAACAATTATTTTCATTATGTTAGTCATTCAGAAAAAAACTCCCTCGGTATTGCCAGTAGGCAGTATTATTTACTTATTGCTTCCAGAAGTTGCAGAACAGCTAAAATTTATCTGCTACGTATGATTACCTGCTGAATCCTATTTGTTGTGTTGCAATCATGCCTAGGTGATGTAGCACAGACTGTGTTCCTTCAGGCTGGCTAGAAATTGACACAGAAACATCACTGCCTGAAGGGTCGTGAGAAATGGAAGAAGACAGAGGGAAGAAGACTACTGAGACACTGAGACTTTCAAGCCCATCTTCTCAGCCTTCTCCTTACCATAAAATGACAGCAGTATTTTCTTCTTTTACCATGGTGTTCTGCAAACGACTTCAGCTCACTAACTAGAAATTAAATGGGCAAACCTCTGAAAGCTTGGCAGTTTGAATAAACATCTGCAGGGATCTGGCTGGACTTGGGGACAGGCTGTCCTCTGCAAAAGAAACCACAGAAATTGCTCGAGACGCACCACTCTTCTAAGGGCTTGTGCTGAGTCTAAAGGAAAGAGTGTGAAGCATGTAATGTCTACACTCAGAAAAAAGAGAGGTGAGAGAGTGGCTGAAAGAAGTTTCTCATGGGGAGAATCTATATGGTGCAGAAAGCTAGAAGTGATCAGAAAACAGGGAGCTGCAATTTGAAAGTAGTAACAATCTGCAGTCTAGGCAACATCTAGGAGTTCATTTAGAAGACCACTGGGGGCAGAAAGAAGCTGCACAAATTCTGCTAGAATATTACATCACAAATAGCTGGAGTTATCTGATTTTCCCAAGGCTATTCTTACCTGTTACTAAAGCTTCCTGATGTGGGTTATGTGAGAATTTAAGGAAGCCTCTTGGGTTGGGATGGGCATTTTTTTTTTTTTCTTACTAAGCACTCCTACAAGAAGACATAAATTGCTCCACAGAATGCCTCCCTATCCAGGGATAAGAGCTATTTGGAAGGGACGCCTGGTGACCACAGTGGCCATGGGGCCACCCGCCAGCCTGCTCTCCTGGGTGATGCAGCTGACTGCAGCAGAACAACGTGAACGTGCTGTCAGATGCCTTGCATCTGTGTGCTCTCATTCCTGCTCTATTGTGCAACAATTCCACTCCAGTCTCAGCTGAGGCTTCAAGTAGGAATAGCCCAAAATACCACAACAACAGCTGTTTTGTTGGATTTTATGGAGCTGAAACCCAGGAGTCCTGGAAATCTTCAAATAAAGCTTTTTCCGATAAAAGAAACTTCCAGATGCATGAGCCTGAATGTTTGTGAACAGCTCATGTCTGTGTAGTAAGCTTGCATTTTTTTATGTCTTCCCCTTGTCATTTCATTTATAATAAATGTGTAATAACTTGTTAAATACTGCAGTAACTCCTGAGAACATTAATGTGTTATTTGGCAGTGAAATTTCATTGGAGGGCCACCATCAACTGACTTCACATATTTTAGCAGGTTTTCCTTTACTGAATAGATTGTCTTTGGATGAAAAACTCCAAAATTGAGAGCAGCCCTTAGTAAAAATTTTCATGGCTTTGACAAGCCAGTAGGCAAGGGCTACAATGCTCAAAGCTGCCTGTGATATGTAACATGTCATTTTTACCAGGAGGTGAAGGAGTATATTTCTACATGAGGCATTTCAAAGAAAACCAGATCATTTTTTCCACAGGCAGCAGGATGCTGTGTGCAAATATTCACCCCACATTTGTCATCTTACAGTAAGACGCTAAGACTTCACCTACGGAAGCTTCAAAAAGCTTTACAATACACTATCTGCTCACTGTGATAGCTTACACACTTTCCAATGGCTATGAAAAGGGTGAAAAGGCAACTTAATCCTAACAGAATTTGTGTAACCCCTAAACAGATCTAGGTGGATGTCTAATGAGCTCTTTAAAGCCTACAGCAATGGAGCTGGAGCCTGTGGTCAATTTGCTGGTCTGCTCTTGTACTTTTGCTATTAGAAAGCTTTTCCTAGTTCCAAAGTCTCGCTTGCTGCCATGCAGTCCCACCATGACTTGCCTTGCTTAGCACAGATGTGGAGGACGTGATTTCCTTCCCCTCTGCAGTGGTACACTGTGTTCCATGACTTCTGCTCTCTGCTTGGTCACCCCTTCTCTCAGTGATCACATACCCTTCAGTCCTTTTTGGCTGATCTCATTGCTCTGCTCTCTCCTCCTTACAGCTGGACACAGCTTTTTGGCTACATAGGGCCCTAGCCACTACCTGCTAGCTAAGGCACTGTTGATGCTGAACCAAGCATAAGGATGATGTTATAATTTCAGCCAAGCACCCAGTCTGCACAATTGTGTTGCAGACTGTTCCCATGTGAGTACTGAACCATTTCCTTCATGGTTTTTGTCTAAGATCAGCTCTATAGTTGTTCAGAATTTTTATAATCCTAACCCTATCTTCCAACATGCCTGCAGTCTCTCCCACCCAGGGCTGTGTGGAGATTTAAAAAGCAGGCTCTGTTCATTTCTACTAATGTAAGTAATGAAGAACACCAGGCTAGAGCAGGCTCCTGGGAGCTCAGCTTATCTTTCTGTTTTGACAGCAAACTGCCTGTAACTACTGAGCATGGTTTCCAATCAGTTTGATAACCAGTTTCATCTGGCTGTTTTTCTCTTCCTTGCTTGCATAAAACTCTGCCAAAAGCCTTATGAAAATCAAGATATCCAGCATTTGCTACTTCTTCCTGTCAGCATGGTAAGGATTACCTCATCAAATGATGAAATTAGCTGGTTTGACATGATCTGTTCTTCAAAAAGCCATGTTGTTTTTCTCTAGGTATGAATAATGTCTTGAGTACTTTTTCCAGTATTTTTACAGGAATTGAAATTCAGCTGACCTCTCTGACTCTTCTTTCTCCCTTTTAAAAAGAGAAGTGTATTTGCCCTCTTTCCATCTTTGGCATCTCACCCTTCTCCTTGAGGCAAATACAAATGGTTTCACGCGATCACGTCAGGTAATTCTTCAAGTATTCTGGGTGTCATTCACCAAGCCCAGCTCATTAAAAAACAAATGCCCTTTGCATCCCATTCTCTCTTCTTATCCAGCTCATCCCTGAGGAATAGTCATGCTCCTATTTTTTCCTAGTCCTAAAACCAAGAGACCAGCCCTTCATTCTGTGATCAGAAAATGAGAGAAAAGCAGGAAATAAGAGATAATCAGACCCGATGCTGCTGAGCATTATATTTCCAAAAGTAGTCCATAGAAGCTGGAAGCAGTTAGATCCTCTAAAAATTGGACTTCCACTGGGTTTTTATGGTGTTAATCATAAGACCAGCATTCTAACTGCACAGCAAGAAGAGCCCTAGGCCTCCTGTTTCTTCAGCAGTACTGTAGAGACATTTTCCACCACACTGCATCAGAGTGTGAGTGCATCTCAAGCTGTCTTATCTGTGCATGGTATCTGATACAAGGTGCACTGCCTGCTTGGTGAAAGATTTCAAAAATTGGCAACGTCTGCTCAAGTCTCCTGCATTTCTAGTCCCCTTTAAAGAATATTGTCTCACGTTATCACAAATGTTGCAGAGAGAACTGATTATACCAGATCCAGACATGCTCAGACTTTCTGCGTAAGACATAACTGTCTCCATGTGTTTTTAGCTACACCCATTAAAATGCATTTACCCAAGTATAACTCACAAATGCTAACTGCCCACTGTGTAGCACAACTACATCTTTCTGAAATTGTATTCCATTTGAATGCATCTGCTACCCAATTGCACAGACAGCTTTGAAAATGAAGACGACAAACTAGAGAAGACTTGTTCATCTGCTTCTGTAGTGAGAGAACACACTTAGAAGGCTCTAGGCCTCACGGGTTTTAGGAACCAAACCTAGCATATTTTTCAGTTTCTGAAATGTTTGGATTTGAAACTGATCTGAGGCCTTTCAGCTGGTTACTACACCGATGACATGTAAGACAGTATGCCTGGAAGTCATCAAAATTCAGCCTCCGTCTTACTTGAACAATAGTGATGCTGATGGAACAACCACAAATGAAATAACAAATCAACAACCTAATCTACATCTTTCAAGCATCACTTACTAAAATGTGATGTAACCACATAAGCATACCACAGCCTGCAGCTTTCATACTAAACCTAAGCACCTGCAAAGTTCAGGGAGCGTAGACCGAAGGGTAGATGTTGCAGCTCTATAATAACTGAAGAACACGTACATCTATTCTCTTGCTTTCTGTGTAGGACTAGAAGCAGGATTAGTCAGATACAGAATTAGCTAGAAAGTTTTAAAAGAAGAAAAAGCAAAATAAAAAAAAAGACAAAGCAAAAAATCCCAAATGTGCCAATTAACAAACAACAAAAAAATTTCTTAATGTTTCTGACCAGGACTTCAGTCTGGCCAAACTCTGCCCAAATGCTGACCCTTTTAAAAACTGGCAAGTGTCATGCAATATTGAATATATTCATATCCAGACAAACAGGATATGAAGTTTTAGGCCAGGAAATACATATAAGGTGAATTCCATGGGGTGACAGATTGAAACAAGTTTTGTAAGAGACACTGTCTCCACTGCAGCTAAAAGGGTGGACAAAGGACTACTCTGCAGCCCTGACTAAGGTGCAGTGAGCTCAGACACTGGTCAGTGATGGAAGAGGTTCCCCTGCTGTGTGCAGTAACAGAGGCTGATTCTCTTGAGAGGGGATGAGTGAGAGCTGGCTTTTCTGGAACTCACAGATACCCGGCTGCAGCACCGAAGCCCTGCGTGGTTTGCTCTTTCCCAGCTGCTTAGCCCACGACTGCTACTCCTTCTGCTTTGAAACCTACCGTAGTGTCTTAAACCAATGCATTATCTCTTCAGCTGTTGACAGCCTTAGGCTGCCCACTTAAGCTAGACTTGCATTCATTGTTTGCTCTTTGCACTTCCTGCTGCTGTTTACAGCCAGGTTGCAGCAAGAATTGAAGCTCCTGCACTGTCTCTTGCTCTTGATACCACTGGAGGCTTCTGCCTGCCCAGAGCTGAGGTTGGCTGCAGAACCTTTGCTATTAGTTTAAGTAGAACACTTTTTGAAACTAATGAAAGACAGTAGTATAACTTATCCATAGCAATGAAAGGAAGAGTCAAGAGTAGATGCTGAAATGTTAAAATAATGTTAGTTCAAACTTTTTATAAAACAGCCAAGCGGAAAGAATGGAAAGGAGGCTTGTCTTTTTCCTCTGACAGAGGTCAGCTGAAGAGCTAAACATTCATTCCCATCACTGCAAGGGTTTATTTCAAATAGTTTCCCTGATATAAGCAAATATACTTAGCTTCCTTATACATTTACTTCCTCCACACTGTTAATCCTCTCTAGGCATTCACGAGGAGTCTATTTCTACTATCTTCATTAGTGCCCTGCAATTTTCCCACACCCAGGGCTGGACTGTTTATGACAGTAAGTGATCTGTTAAATTCAGTCCCCTCTTCCTATTTGTGACTTGATCTGACCATAAGGTTGACTTAAATGTTTGTAGAACTAATTGCAAACAGTCACCAAATAGATTATACACATACATTTCAATTTGTGAGTTGTTTGCAGATGAATGTCTTTGAAAATACCCAGTTTATTTTTTTCACCCAAGGATATGTGGCTGGTTGCCCAATTCACATGTCACCATTTCTGGCAGCGAAACTCAACTTTCAAAACAGAGGAATAATGATGAAAGCATATCAGTGACTGAACAGATATCAATGTCCCGATATGAAAAGCTTCCAGACTAATACTACCCTCTGTTTAAAATTGTTCACAAAATGTTTAGGACTCACAAATATACTGATAAACTAACAGCTTAAATAAACATGACCCCTGGACCCCAGGAGAGAGATCTATTCATGAGAATAGTCACAGATCACTTCCTTCTAATTCCACCAGCTCTTCTGCTTACTAATTTGTCTCTTATCTTACAGAGCTGCTCTGTGAAGACCTCCCTTGTTTGGACATCATATATAATACAAAACTCACTTGCAATTTATTGTGGAAATTTGACTGAACAGGCAAAATGTGATATAGAATACTTTGTTTTGTAAAAACATTTACAAAATTGCTTCCAATTATTTGAGGAGATTATAATTCATGATTGCCTTTTGATATATCACATGGATGTTTTGGACACCTGTGAGGATATTTCTTAATAAAAAGTATGTGCAATCTTCTATCTAAAGAGAGAGAAATAGGGCTGATAAAATCATCAACAATAATCTGCTGAAGCTGAGAAAAAAAAATAACACTTTACATATCTGAAAACTTTATGGGAAAACATTACGTATCTGAGGCATTAAAGCTCAGAAATTTAACCACAACTTCTAGTTTTACCATAGCCAAAAAATTCAGTCATAAATTCCAGTTTTATCAT